AACAAGATGTCCTTTCATTTCTTTATCCTTGATTTCTTCTCTCACATCTCATGTTAACTAGACAGCTTGGGTCCAAACTGCACGTTTATAGTCATAAGCATGGGTGCTTGGGTGCTCAGTCGCTCCGTCGTGTCTGACTCGTTGCGACCCCATAGACTGTAGGCCGCTAGGCTCCTCTGTCCATGGTATTCTCCAGGCGAGAATACTAGAGTGGGTTGCCATTTCCTTCTCCAGGAATTGGACCTATGTTTCCGATGTCTCCTGCATTGGCAGGTGATTTCTTTAACCCTGCACCACCTGGGAAGCCATTTACAGGTATAGTATTGGGCAAACCCAGGGAAGTAAGCCACACGTCAGCCCGGTAACCTCTGAAGGCTTTCTTGTCACAGTGGGCCCTTGTACGAGTCTCCCTTCCCTTCCTTCCCATTGTCTTGCTCCGACGTCTGCCCCGTGACCAGCCGCACTTAGAACGCACACTGCCCCTCTCTGCTGCCCACACACCGGCGGGTCGCGCGGCAGGTCGCACAGCGGTTTCCTGTGGGAGAGAAGCCAGTCCAGGGCCGCCTCCTGCTCACCGCAGAGCGCTGCACGTCCCTGATGTGGGGCGAGGTCCTGTGTTCCCGAAGCACGACGAGCAGCCCCCTCCCCGAGCCCGTCCATCCAGACCCTCGGCCTTGTCGCCTGGAGGGCCGTGCTGCCCAGGCTGGGGGGCCAGCTGCCCTCGGGGACCCTCTCCGGTCTCCTTGCTGTGCCCAGACCAGAGCTCACTGCCTGAAGGCAGCTCCTAAGAGATGCCTTAGGAGCACTATGCATTTCCAGACTGACCCTTGGAGGCCCTGCATCCTGTGTGTGACCCGGCAGTTAGTGGATCATCTGTCAGGACGTTTACCTTCAAGTCCTAGATTTTCTGCTGCTGAAACACAGAGGAGTAAAGAATGTCTATTGTGAAAGAGAACTTGTCTGTTATCATCTCAGTATAAAAACTGGGGTAACATGCTGAGAAATAAGAATAAATTTCTCTCTTCAAGGAATAGTATTTTATTTAGCATAAAGATGCCTACGGGACCCTAATCCCACGGTCACCTGGGGTCGACTCACTGCCAGCTGCTTCCTGAGCAAGTCAACAACAGCACAGGGCCCGGCTTGCCTCTTAGATGTCCGAAGACCCCTATGGTCCTGCCTCCTGCCTTGGCGGACTCTGAAATTGTTCCTCTTGCAGCCAAGTTGTCCTTCTCGCCTGGATCTAAATATGTTTTGTGACCCCATGGACTGTAGCCTACCAGGCTAAATATATTTTAGAAGTGTATTTTTAAAATGTATTTTGTGCCCACTACCTGTTTAAATAGAAAATCACCAGTTAATTGTTGTCTTTGCCATGCTTATAACTAAATTTTAGAACTAATCTTTGAATTCTTTTCCCCCCATTTTCTGTAATAACTTATTTAGGGAGTGTTTACTGAATGCTTGACATCTGTTGTGCTGTATGTGTTTTGCACTGGGATCGGCCATGTGGTGAATACAAAGCAGCCTCTGACCTCAGGGAGCCCCACATCCCATCCAGAGCCACACGGTCCTGGAAAGGGTCCTGGTTCCTGGTGGTGGGTGTGATGGGGGCTCTGGGCCCAGGAAGGAATGTGGAGAGAAGTGAGGGCCGCTCCCAACCCCGCTCCCTGCATTCGCCCTGGAGTGCATTTCTATCGGTGAAAAGCCACCCTTTTATTAGTCTTCTGAGCTTTATTTTTAAGTGCTGTTTTTGCAAACATCTAATCATTGACCTTGCTCTCCCCTGGATTCCAAGCAAGTGCACTGGGTTCATTGACACTTCAGTCCCCTGTCCTGGGGTTGGATAGATAAAACCTGTCCCCAGCAGCTGTGTGCACATCAGTGGGCGTTTCTCATCCCACACTTGTCGCACTTCTGTGAAAGGGGCCTGTGGAGACCCCGTGGGACTGGGCGGCACGGTCTAGTGGCCGTGCCCTGGGGTCGCTGGTGGCGTCACACCGCCCCAGGGTTGTCGCAGTGGAAGCCTGTCCCTGACAAGCTACATGACGGGGCTGGTCTGCACCACTGACAGGGGCTCTCCGTTACGGCTGAACCATGTGGGCTGCACCACTAACGGGGGCTCTCCGTTACGGCTGAACCAGGTGGGCTGACCTCTGAATCCCGGTGTTAGCCTCAGAGAGCATTTCACTCTTGATCTTATAAGCTGTGTGAATTTACCCCGCAGAGGAAACCTCCTCCACCCCACCTCCTGGGTGCACGCAGTGAGGATGTGCGGGCGGGGGGACCGAGGAGGTGTCAGTGCGCCTGCCGAGCTGGCCTTTGCATCTCTTCCAGGGCCTGTGGCGGCCGCCTTGGCCATGTCCCGACTGTTTTAGGGGGGCGTCCCAGATCTGCAGAGGACACAGCCACTGCTGAGGTCGCGGGCTTTCCATGCCCTGCCTTGAAGCCCCTTCATTTTCCAGCCCGTGATTCTGCTGACCATCTGGGAATCTCCTCTGCAAATTGAGACTACTCCCGTGTGGTCTGTCTTGGGACTGCAGAAACGTCCTGTGAGCGCTGGGCTTGGAGGTGACAGTTCCAGCAGCGCAGCCTCACCGAGATGACCTCTTGGGATTGTGTCTATCATCCCGTGAGCCCCTCCTCTAGTCCCCAGAAGCACTGGGCTTGGACACAGAGGTGCAGCTGGCAGTGGATTTACTCGGGTAGTTTAGCCCTGGCTGGGCCCCAAGGTAGATTTTCCTGCCAGTCATCTCTCCTGGCTCTCCTGCCACCAGAGAGGTAAAGATGACCAGAGGACTCTGTCCATAGGGAATCAACCATCTTATCTCTCACTGTAAATCAGGGCGGAAGGGAAGACTTTTATTTCATGGTCTATTCTAGGTAAGCGTTCATTGAAGAGACAGACAGCAGTGTCAGTGTCAATGCCTGGCGTCTGCTTCGCGTCAGAGTTTTCAGGAAGCATCACCTTGTTCTGGCAGTGCTCCTGATGGCCCCGGGTGGTGTGACTATCCCCGGTCAGGTGGGATGGAGTCACATCCCAGAAGCTCAGAGATTGTCCAAAAGCCCCTGTGGACCTGGGTCTCTGCTCCCAGCCCTGCACCTTCCCAGCCTCACCCACGGCCTCCCCATTGCCTGGGCACCGCTGTGTCTGTTTCAGAAGCTTCACATTTGTTCTCAGTCTGTTCATCACATCATGCGTGTACTTTCATAGGGATGCAGTTGAAGATGGCATTAGATCATTTTGCCTGCATGTCTTCCTTCTTCTTCTGGGCAAATTCCACTTTGTCAAGTTCACTTTGGCATGATATTTGGCAAATAGAAGTTGTGAATATATTTGGCATTACTTCAAGATAGAAAAGCTCAGTGAGGACTGCAGGGTTCTATAGTCAGAAAATCTCCTGAGATTTCTAGTCTGCCTGTGTAAGTGTGGTGCTTAATGGCTTGGAGGTGGTAGTAGAGCGCCATGGGCTTTGTTTTGTGTGCATGTGTGTGTTAAATGACTGAAATATTTTTACAGTGTATCTATCTTGTATAGCACTTACGTACTTTCAAAAGTCTTTTCAATCCTAATAGAGATTGTGTTGGCACAAACTCTTCCAGTCTCTGTGTGTGTTATGTGTATATGTAGTTATATAACGTTTTTTGTTGTTGTTATGTAACTTTTAAATAGAAAACAAAGATTGCAAATAAATTTGCTTAATAAAAGGTATTCAGATATTGTCTATAAAATTTGAATCATAAACATCAAAAATGATGTCCCTTTACATTTGTTCAAATTCATTCATTTGAAAGAGTTTTCTTTTGGTGTAGAACATTTTTTGATATTTTTACAGTATTCTACAGTTTTGTATTCTTTTTATTTTGAATTATATGTGCCCCAAAATAGGTAACCTCAAATATGAGGCCATCCCATATTTTCCACAGGGAAGAAACAGAAAATACGCTAACCCAACCGAATATTTAAACCTTTAGGAATGTGGACAAAATGGTTAAGTGACTATAAATATTTAATTTGCTAAATTAAGTACGTATTCATATTTTAAATAACATTAGGATGTTTAGGAGTTGGTGAGGGACAGGGAAGCCTGCGTCCACACGGTCGCAAAGATTCAGACACGACTGAGCAACTGAGCCAACGGTGTTTAGAAATATTGGAGTTCTTTCTTCTTGCATTTTATAAACGATTTTATCCAATCCCCTCAAATGCGTCTTTGGCATCTTTCGGCCAGCCGTTTCCCCAGAGCCCCTCGTCCACTGCTGGCCCTGTGTCAGGGCGTCCGTCTGAGGCCTCGGGGCCTGGCGGGGATGAGCCGCCGCCTCCATTGCGAGGACAGGCCGTCGTGCTCCTCGACCCAAACACCCTGCCTTGTAGAGGATTCCAGTGTCTGCGCTGGCGTCAGACTCTTCGGTGATGAGACCATGCTCACAGTGATTATAGCTCCTTGGGTGCCTCGTCTTCAAACAGATGCTTTCACATGGCCCCTTGAATCCTGGAAACTAGGGTGGAGTGATGTTATTTCAAGTGAATGTCTTCCCTTCGCCCTGCCACCCCGACGTGGTGCTTAGTTGTTTGAGACGGTGTGATCGAGAGGCCACCCAGGGCCCCCGGGCTCCGTCAGGACCTGGACAGAAGGTGCACTGGGGGAGACGCGGCCCCCGCACTATGGAAGAAACATCCGTGTCTTTCTGCACCGAATTTCACATCTGTCCTCTGGGGTTTTCTGTGTGAACAAAGTCTCCCACTTGAACTTGCATCAGGCCAAAGTGGAAATCTGGAGTCGGGGACAGAGGGACTGCTGTCCCCGGGGGTCCCCTACCCCCGCCCCCCATGATGGACGGCAGTCCGCCCCCCCCCCGGTCACCACCTCCCACGAGCCATGCTGCAGCTCAGCTCTGAGCCGGGGTGGCCACAGGGGCCCAGAGCACAGCTGGTGGGGGCTTCCTGCAGGAGGCGGGGTGCGGGCAGGGGTCCTGGGTGCTCGCCTCCCTGCTCCCAGCAGCGGAGGGGGTGTGTTTGCTGCTGTCACCAGCTCCCCCATCCATCCAGCCGGCCCCGCCGAGGCCCCTGAACCCCTGGTAAGGAGCCGGCATGGCTGCCACTTAGAGCCAGAGCCCTGGGCCCAGGGCTCCACTCCCAGGCCGCCTGTCTGCGGCCTGGTCTCCCCGTCCCTCTGCCCGGGGCCAGCGGGTGCCCGTCTCCAGGGACAAAGGGGCCCTGTTGTCCGTGTCCTGAGGGAGGTGGTGGCCCAGACTCCCTCCCCCTGCACAGGGGAGCCCTGGTCTTGTGCTCGACACACCCCCGGGGTGGGCGGGGTAGGGACGCTGCAGGGGAGCCCAGGACGGGGGCCGGGGATGGGGTGGACCCCCCCAAGCGACCGCCTCTGAGGGGCGAGTGCTGTCAGGAGGGCGAAGTGCAGGCTGCTGACGCTGCTCACTCTCATGTGACGTTTCCGAGGCTCCCCCAGGCCCCCCAGAACACCTCCACCCCCTCCTGGCCTGGAGGAGGGCTCTTGCTGTCCCTCTGCCTCTGAAGGCCTGGGACAGAGCCACTTCCCGGGCCGCCCCGGCTATGAGCCTCTGTCTCTCCCCACCTGTGAACGAGGTCGCCGAGCCCCAGAACAGTGTGGGGTGTCAGCGGGTTCCAGGCCCCCGAGTCTGCAGCCCCAGCGGGGAGACGGTCCACAGCTGGGGGGCGGGGTGCTGAGGCGGGGTAACCCAGGCGGCGGCCCGGCTCTGGCTGCCATGTGGGCTGTGTAACGCTTGTCATCTCCAGTGAGTCATTAAAAGGTTCCCCTTAATGGGGCTTTGAAGTGCAGGGCAGCTTGAGCGCATCCATAAATTCCACAAACAGCCCTCTGACTGCGCCAGCTAATTGCTTGCTCTTTGACTTATTAGGATCAACTGAGTTAAATAGTTTGTCACGTGTGTGGCTCGTAATGAATAATGTGGCCGGCCGGCTTGTGGGCTGCCTAGGTGATATATCGCACCCCTTTTGGGTATTGTCGCACATAGCCAGCAAATGGGGCTCTTTTATCCCCAGGACCATCTTTTCCTGCAAAAAGAGTAGGTCCTGGCGGCGCAACTGGGGGAAGAATTCAGAAGAGTCTAGTTACAAACAAATGCGTTCACTTCTGCTTCAGCCTTTCCACAAGGCATCAATCATTATTTTTCTCGGTTATTAGGCATCCGTATCACACGCCATGCAGCTCACAGGCTGAGCTGCTGTTGGTGTGGGTCCTGTGACTGCAGTTTACCTGGGGAGCAGGCCGTCCTGCTCGCAGCCCCGGGCCTCCTGTGTCCCCTCTCACTGCAGGCGGATGCCCTGCTGCTACGGGCAAAGGCGGGGGACCGCGAGGGGAGGGCTTCGTCTGTGAGGCGGGAGGGCAGGCCCAGTGTGGACGGACCCGCTCCGCTCGCACTGGGGCTCATCCTTCACTCGCCCAGGAAGTCGCCTGGTGCCCAGAGTCCTTTGCACGCCACCAGAAACGTGCGTCCCAGCAGCTCTGGGCTGCCTGGCTCTCAGCTCAGAATTGTGTATCTGTTCACATTCAGGAGAGAAGGGGTGGGGAGGGCAAATCTCTTGCCAGGCTGTTAGTCTTAGTCCTGACTGTTCTTGCAGAAAGTGTCATGTGACTGATAAGAAAACAATTGAGCTTATTTGTAACTATTTTTTATTTTTTTATTTTCTTTTTTTTCTTTTTTTTTCTTTTTTATTTTTCCATTTATTTTTATTAGTTGGAGTGTAACTATTTTTTAAAAATCTTTGCAAGTCATGATTAACTCTGCCTGTTGTTAGCAATGGCCACCTAGTGCTGTTTTAGGGTAGAACGGACACCTCCGAAGTGAAGGTAGTTATGTTTTTCTGTGGTAGGTTTGTCTTTTATCTAACTGTGCTCTGAACACCCTGGCCAGAGGCCTGAGTTTCACAGAGCATTTCTGCAGCAGAGCAGGAAAGGAAAAGCCCAGCTCACCGGGGCTTCCTTTCGGCGTTTTCAGTTCATGGACTACCATTTATAATTTATTTGTCTGTGCTCCCCAAAGCACTCAATTGAAATAATAACTGCCTTAACTAACACTTTTACAGCAATTTTAAAAATTAAAATACCTCCTTCTCTGTGCATGCTGCTTCAGATTTAATGTTCTTGAGCTGTTTTCTCTAATGACCTATTCTTTCTCCCTCTTTGAATATGTTTACTTAGGGTTTTAATATATCTCTATGCTTGCACATTATCACTGAGACAACAGGCAATAAAAATGCCAGAACGTCTCAAACATTGAGGCCAAGACGTCAGGAGCAGGCCGCAGCTGGAGGAGGGCCCCGCCCCGCCCCGCCAGCCCCTGGCACTCAGGCCTCTGGCCAGGGCATTCAGAGCACAGTTAGATAACAGGGTGAGTGTGGGGTGGGCGAGGGTGGATGCCCTCTGCTTGGGGGGACACGAAGAGGAGTCCCCGCGTCTGGTGTGTTTCCTCCCTGGGGCTCTGGGTCTCCTCTGCCGGGCACCAGCCAGTCAGCCTCTCGCGCAGCAGGCGGCTCTCAGCCCTGGCCCACCGAGTTTGCTTGCAGAAATCAGTGGCTTGGGCCAGCTCACCCTGTCTGCCTCTGCGAGAGGTGGCATCGAGGGAAATAAAGCTATCGGCGCACTCCACTGTCAGTGGCTTGGGCCAGCTCATCCTGTCTGCCTCTGCGGGAGGTGGCATCGAGGGAAACAAAGCTGTCAGCGCGCTCCACTGAGCCCGCCCCTGCTCTGAACACGCTTCCGGAGTGACTCTCTCCACTCTGTGGGTGTGTCTCGGCTGTGACAAGGGCAGTGATGCTAGTAAGAAGAGTGTGTGGGCGGAAGAGGGCGTTTAAGATGTTTATTGACGACTGGCCGTGGTGTACGCTCCTCCCCTTAGAAGGCGAAACATGCTGGGATGGGGCTTCTAGCTCGGGGGCGGGTGCCATGTTTCGGCCTGGGTCCTTGCGGGTGTGCTCAGGACACGCGGGGGGCAGGGGAGAGGTGCGGGCGGCAGGGGTTGGCCGGCGTGTGCTCCGCAGTCTCCGCGCACGTGCGTGTTGCTCCCTGGTGTCGGGGCTGGTGGACGCACCCTTTGTTCCACCCTCTGGTTGGGGCTGGGGGCCGGGGGCGGTGGGTGCAGGCGCTTGGCAGCATCTGCAGAGCACGCTTCACCCACACACCCTGGCTCAGGACGGCCGCCTCCGGGGGGGATCTGGGCGGCGTGGGGAGCAGCCCTTCCAGGCCTCCCCAGGTGTCCCCAGGGGAAAGGGGCCGAGCCCAGCCCAGTGCCCCAGGACGAAATCCCCCCTTTCCTGATGCAGGAAAGTACATGTAAATTATGAGGAATTGATTTAAAACCAATGTTTCAAAGTTAAAATATGCATAAGGAATCTACCCTTGATTTCTGTCTTGTCCAGCTTCATCGAGATGGTCCGACACAGCTGTGTGTAAGCGTGCAGTGTGAGGACCTGACACAGCCGTCACGAGGTGCTCACCGCAGAAGTGAGCATCCAGCCTTTATGGCTGCCCATAGAAGCTTTCTTTCTCCTTGCAGACCTTGGGCCTGCTCCCTCAGCCGCACAGATGCAGGACCCAGCCCGTGACCTGCAGTCCCCGTGCCGAGCTTCTCGTCCTGTTCCCGAGGCTTAGCCCTGCGTGCTCCCGATAGGCAGGAGCACACGTGCGCTTGCTGCTTCCCGGGGTCCTGTTAGGGAGCTTGGCATTCGGAAGCACACCTGTGTGTCGAATAGTCCTGTTCTTTCTACAGCCGCCCTTGTGACCCTCGCAGCAGAGTCCAGGAACCCTCCACTGCAGCCAGGGGCTTGCGCCACACCTCTGAGATTAGTTCCCTCATCTGTAAGCTTCTTGAGCTCAGAGCCGTTGGAGCTGTTAAATGAAGGAAGGATGTACGGCCACTGCTGTCAGTGCTCTGCAGAGCCGGGCTGGCCGCCTCCTTCCCAGGGCTGAGGCCGCCCGGCGGTGAGACGCGCTCAGGGCCCTCAGTCGGCACAGGGCGGTGCTTCCCGGGCGGCCTGGTCACCGGCCAGGAGAGACGGCCCCGTACACTCGCGGGCGGACACCGCTGGCTGCAGGGCCTCTGTCGGGAGCTGAGGCGAGCACTCGGGGCCCTGTGTCCCCGGGGCGGCCGCACCAGGCAGGGACTCTGCAGGGCGGGCTCCTGTCCCCCCACCTCCTGCCCGCAGTTGTCGGGGCTCCTGGGTGCGGGCAGTTCCACCTCTCAGCCAATTTTAACTTTTATTCTGGCTTATTTGCTCAGAGTTTCCTTTTAACTTACTGACTTATTTTTCTTAAGCATCTTTATGTCATACTTCTTAATAATTCACAGTTACTCAAGCAATATAGGGCGGTCTCCTGTCTTGTCTTTATCTGTGTCTCAGACCCGCGTCCATGTGTTTCTGGAGATCTTTGCTGTGTGCAGACCTTCTCGTGTAATGTTTAGGCTGAGTGGACCTTGGGCTATAATGTGCTCTGGGGGTCAGAGTGAACAGTGGTGTCAAGTCCAGATGGATGGAGTCTAGATTTGTCAGAATTATTTCTGTATTTGTGCACAAATGCTGTCAAATCTGTCAGAGGTAACCTTGCTATTACCTTTTAGGACTCCTACCTAATTGCTTGTCTTACCCTATAGTAGTATAAATAAAATATGTCTTCATTAAGGTTTCAGAGAGAAAAAACCTTTCTTTATAAAAAAAAAAATGTAAGGATAATTTTATGATCCTGAAATAACCCCCGTTATAAAGTTTCCCTTCTTTGACTCTATTAGCATGCCCTTTAAAATGCAGCGTCTCAACTTTAAATATTGCCACAGTTTATGCTTTTGAGTTGCAAGTAATGTTTCCATGTATTAAAGAAGTCACCAGAACTAAAGTCATCAGAAGGAAACAGAATTTCTGTCAAATTATTGTACATAAACTGATAAACATGGCTGAATATATCTATGCAGTTTCTCCAAAGCATATTTTTGCAGAAACTGAAGGACAACATTGGAGTCTCTGTTAAACTTTTTTGGGGGGGGAGTGCTAATTCAAAAGTTACCCAAACAATTAATGCATTATAAGTCAAAAAAATGCATTTCTCTTGTCATCCTGTGAGTTTGCCACGCTGGGTGGTTTTCCTTCCCGGGGAGAACTCGAGCCAGCCATCCCGCCCGGGCGGCCAGAGGAGGGGGCGGCGGCGTGTGCGGCGGCCCGTGCCCCAGCGCCTGACCGGACGCCTCGAAGCTGGGAGCGCCGTGTGGGGCGGGGGCCGGCGGGGGCATTTGGTGTGCCGCTCGCTGCGCCCCAGCAGGCCCTCCTGCTGAACTTTAGCTCGCTCATCGAGGCGCCCGAGGCCTGCCGGGCAGTGAGGACTGGGCCCCGTGTGGCCGCGGTAGCTCCGAGCACTTGACGTTTCTAAGCCCTTTTCCCATCTGTAATGTAAACTCTGTGAAGCTCCGGCTTCTTTAAAGCGTGTCCCCTGCACCGAGGCAGCTCCCACAATGAAACCTTTGTTCCCGGCCACATTGCACATTCATACATGTGTGTCCACACTCATGCTGTCTAATGTTTGTCTGGTCTGGAATGAGCGTTCATCTTTAATTACTGGATAAACATTTTAAACAGGTGTGGAAGGACTGCACCCAGCCCAGCCCAGTGCAGTGTTTATCTCCTGGCTGCCGGGCAGACTGACCCCTCGGCCGGGGCTGGAGGTGCGGGCGGAGGGGCAGAGGGCAGAGAAATGCCAGGTCCCACATGAATCAAGACTTTGCAGTTATAAACTGTGTGCCACCAGAACATCCCTTACCGCAGTCTGCGCGCCAGGAACGGCCTGGGGACGGCTCCTCCTGAGAAGTGTGTTTCTCTGTGTGGGTACTGGTGTGGGGAGCGGCTGTGTGTGCCGCGCTTTCCTCCTTCCTGGGGACTGCGCGGCCTCGGCTGCCTTCCGCGGGGCCGTGGTGTGAGCAGATATAAAGCAGCCTTTTTCTCGCTGCCTCTGGGACAATGAGGCCTCTGTTCGCAGGAGCCCGGCCGCGCAGACGGCCTCGCGGGCCATGGGGCTGCAGGAGCCCAGGTTCAAAGCCGTCGGCCTCCGAGTGCTCTTAATTCAGCGTTATTTTTGCTGCTCTAACCTTTTTTTTTCTTTTTACATAAACCTTCTGAGGCCTCCTTGTTTGGTTGGGAACCGAGCAGTGACTTTTTCTAATTAGATTAAAGTTAATCAAATGAAGACTTGGATATTTTTAACTGTCATTTAATCTCCTCCTCCTCCGCCTCCTCTTCCCCATGGATTTTATCACCTTAGGTCAATTTGTTGTAAAGTTTCACCTCACTTCTGCCTAGTTTCAGGTTTTCGAGTTTGGAAGAGCAGAGGGCAGCAGGTATTCATAGGCATCTCGTCTGTGCTGGGAGTGAGCACACAGCACAGCGCCGGCGCTGCTGCTGACCAGACGGCCCCTGCCACCCCTTGTCCCCTGCCGCGGCCCTTCCCGCGGGAGGTGCGGGGAGGAAGGTCACACATACACGTGGAGAACGTTGATGTCTGAGGAGGGCACTGATGAGATTAGGGTGCTCCGGTCGATTTAAGGTGGTAACGCCAAAGAGGGAACCTGTGAGCACGCTTGGTGCGGCTTCTCTGCTCCGGCGACAGAAGTGTGAGCATCGCTTCTTGTTGAGTCCAGATTTATGCCCTGGATGATGTGCTTTGGGAGGAGGCAGTGGGTGGAGGGGAGGCGGTAGGGGAGTGGAGGGGAGGCAATGGGGGGAGGGGGAGGCAGTGGGGGAGGGGAGGGGTGGCAGTGGGGGGAGGGGAGGCTGTGGGGTGGGGGCGGCATGGGGGGGGAGGCAACAGAGTGGGGGACAGCAACGTTGCCCTTGCCGCTTGGCTGGCATCCTTTCTACCCGATGGACGAGGAGTCAGGTTTCGAGTCTGGAGCTGAAGGCTGTGGGGTGGTGAGCGGAGGGCCTGGTTCTGATTTTTAAGTGGTGCTAAGAAGGTCAGGGTTCACATTTTTCCCATTTTATCCTGAGTTCATCACCAGCAGGTCTCCCTTTGCGCATGCAGTGAACACTCCCCGGACGAGACCAGGACGGGGTTCCCGCCCGGCCCCGCTGACACCCCCAGTGTGAGGAGGAGAGCCCGTGTCACTGGAGGTGCAGCCACTGCTCCATCACTTTCAGCGGCTCCCTGGTAGTCCCATGTTCTCATTCACAGTAAAAATTAATAGCTTATTTCTGATCTGAGTGAAGGGCTAATGTGTTCATGTGTGTTTTCCTTGGTCATAGTCACTTAAATTTATGCTTCTATTTTTTAAAATGCTGTTAGGACCTACATTACATAAAGATACATCATCTTGAAATCCTCTTTTTTCCTAATCCAGAAGTAATTATACTTCCCAAGTCCTTGGTCTGAAAGGTTAGTCAAAGTGCTATTCCCGTGTAGTTAAAACCAATGGGTAATAAAACTTCTCTAAATAACTCTTTAATATCTATATATTTTGTCTTCTTAGAATTGTTTTTGAACCAATAATAAAGTAGGGAACATATTTCTAATTTTTGTAAAAAGTGACTTAAATTTCTTTTTTATAAATAAAATGTTCTGACCTGCCTCTCTTCATAAGACAGTTTAATCTTATCAATCAAAAATGACCACTTTCTTCCTGTTGGTTTATTGACTGATTTGTTTGAAACTGGTCAATGTCTTTTTAAGGCTACACACTAGAAAAAAATTTTTTGTCTTCTGTTTTGTCATAAATGTAAAGGTTGATTCGTGATGTCGGTACAAGGCACAGATGTGAAGGGAGGGACGTGTATGTGACATGTTTGCATTTTTTGATGAGTGTACATTGTACAGTAAAACCAAAGATGAAGGGATTCATAGACGATCTGACTTCTTCTCTGTTGAGACCTACATACTCAGCCGCTAAAGCAAACGCGAGCATGTCTGAATCTCTAAGAGTGATTTTACTTTATAAGATTTTTTAGAAAGCTTTTAGGAGGTGTCAGAATCTTTAAACCACCAATAATAAAATAGCCCATTCTTGTGCTACGTGAAAGTTAAAAAAAAAAAAAGCTGCCCAGATACTTCATGTAAATTTAGAGGTGTTGAATAAAATCACCAGGAGGCTTCCCCTCCCTCCCGTTTACCCTGGAAAACACTCACACACACACACACACACACACACACACACACACACGTGTTCCTGTGAGGGACTGCTGTGTGCACACACATCACATACCACTTCAGTGTTTACAGCCAGGCATTCGTGGGTACTGTTTCCAGTCCACTTGCCCTGCTCACAAAAATGTACTAAAACAAACAGGAAAAATATATTCTCTAAGGTAAAGTCCTGAAACATTTTCTCTTTGACTTGCTAGAGGCTTTCCTACGGCGAGATTTCCTCTGTGTGTTCAGAAAACCCAGTGGTTGTGCGTGTGAGCCCCGGTCAGAGTCCATGGATGAGTCCCCCCGGCCCGGCCCCCATCGACGGCTCTCCACGTCTCCTCACAGGGGACAAAGCCCACTGAGGCAGCAGGGGACGGGCAGACGCTTTTGCTTTAATGTCTAATATCACATTCCCTGAGAAATTTACTGTCCTGTTCCGCAGAGCGAAAATACAAGCATCGTTCCTTACATGTTCAAAAGTAGAATAACATACTTCGTTTAGCTTCTGAGCAGTCACTACATCTAATAAATGATCTATGACTTCAGTATTTAATTTCTCGAGTTTAGGGATGTTCACTCGGGGTTTGGTGTAAGTCGATGAGAGTCTTATATTTGGAAGAGAGAATGCTACTTGGAAAGACCTGTCTTAACAATGTCACAGTTGTGCACATAGAAATTATTCCTCCTCTCCTCCTCCTCATTAGCTTTTCACATATGCCATCATTTTAGCATAAAGAAGAATATCTCAATAGTACCAAATAATAAATCCACAGCTTTTTTTTTTTGTTAACCAAGGAAAATGTTACATGAATAAAACGTTAGATGTTTTCCATGAGGCTTACTGGGTACAGCTGGCCAAGAGTCCTCGGCAGAGACAGACTGGCATGAGCTCTGCCAAGTTGTGGGAATGCATAAATCGTAGACTTCTTTTACGAACGGTTTTAATGCTGTTGACCTTGTTCTGGCTAACGCAGAGAACTTTTCCGAGGTGCACACTCGGAACACTCGGCCGGTCTCCTCCCCGGCTGGCTGTACGGTGGGCTGCACCTGATGCAGGGCAGGCGTGGGGACCGGCTTGCCGGCGCTGTTCCCTGGCCGCCCTATGCTGTGCCAGCGGGAGCCCTTGTCTTCCTGTCCTTCCTGTTGCCTCCTGTCCAAGGCCTGTTTATATAAAGGAAGAACCACTATTTCAGTTTGACATATTAAACAAAATAATTTTATTCCTCTTTCAATACCGCCGGATCACCCACAGCCTCTAAAATAAATAAATGAGCTTAGCTCATCAAACAAAACATTATTTTTATTGGTCTGGTTTGTGAAGAATGAGGAATTCTAGTGCAGAAAGTATCTGTTCTTTCATCATCGTCTCCTTTCCTGTTCGAGCTATTTTCTGTAAATCCCACTCACATAGTCCAGGGTTTAAAGGACCTGGGACCTAGAAGCTTGGAGAGTGGTTGATGTACATGTCCTCCCTGAGCCCGTTTCATTATTTTAAAGTTTGTGCAACGTCTCTGTGCTTAAATATAGTCCATAATAGCTGCTTTTCAGTTGGAATTTTAGCAAGATTAAATGTCAGTCTAGTGATAGGATGTATTTTGACTTTGTCATCTGGATGAACCTTCTCTGAAGAAAAGCTGAGTAGGACCCGGTGTGTTTGTGAGCCCCTAGACCTGCTGCGGTGGGAAGGGAGTGTGTTTGCTAGGATGGGGCTGCGACAGCTTCCCCGTGGCCTTGAGTGACTCCTGGTCTTTCACTTTTCGAGCAGAGAGATTGCAGAGATGACCTGCAGCCACGGACGTTTCTGGTCTGTGCCCTGAAGTCAGAGGCCGTGGATCAGCCGGGCGGCGGCATCCAGCCTCAGGGGCTGCCCTTCTCGCAGGGCAGACTCCCCTGGGCCCCTGGAAGGCAGCGCTGAGCTGCTTGCTCTGCTGGCTCCGGGGACGCTGGACCCCTGATGTCCACCCCCTGTACCATTGCCTGGGCAGCGATCGGAGCCCCCTGACATCTGTCTTTTGAGATTCTCCACCCTTTCAGCTCCCAGGGCTCTGGGACCCAAGGCCGACTCGTTGGCCGCCAGAGAGGGACAGGCAGCGTGATGCTCTTGGCGACGGAGGCCAGGGAGCTGACGTCATTCAGCCGGCAGTTTTAAGCATTTCCTGCAAACTGCTTCAGAGTGTGCTTTGGTCTAATGTGGAACCTTGAAAGCCACCATTTCACATTTGAAAGGCTGTTGTTCAGTAGAGGAA